AACCAACAGATAGACTTGCCAAGGGAACATCTGCAGATCCTGAAATCTTGCTATTTCCCTGCTCCTTTCTTCATGGGTGCTGTTAGTACTGGTAGGTGGGAGCCTGAGGAAAGCCTAAGGCAGATCCAAGTGTGTGGTGAGCTGACCACTTTCTGCTGAAGCTGCTTGGTCTCTGAGTTAGTCTTGTCACCATTTGCCAGCTGACAGTTTTTGTGGTAAGTAAGGGTAAGCCTGGGTAATTTTGCTTTCAGTATATTTTGATGTAAAATAGCTTTTTAATCGTGGTCCTTCTGAACTGCCAGCATATAAGGCCCTCTCTAGCCATGGGTCCCTGCTACCACCGTGCATGCAGCAGCCTGTGACAAGGGACACACCAGTGCTGTGAGCAGGAGTTACTTCTCAAATCAACCTAAAGCTATGTTGGACTTTAGAGGGAATAAGCCCAAATAATCATCAATAATGGCAGTAGCATTTTCTTGCAATTGAGCTGCATTTACTCTGGAATGGTGTTCTGGTGAGTCCCTGTCACACTTTACTCCTGTGCTGGGATTGTTGCAATCTGTGTCTGAGCTGCACTTGGGTCAGTACCAAGGCTGTGTGGGTGGCCAGCAGAGCAGAGCAGCTGCAGGACTCAGTGCTTGTGTGACACCCTGCATAGCTGTTGGGAAGTGCTTTGTTTAGTTCACAGCAGTACCTGTGATGCTTTTAATTTTTCTGGCTGCACCAGTTTTGCCTCTTTTGCTGCAAGCTAACCTCATTTTGCTCTTAAAGCTCACAGCTGAAGTTAAGGGCATTTAAAATGAGTACAGTGGTGGTGAGAGGAGGTCTGATTAAATGGGGGGCTGTGTAGTTGTTTCTTTCCACAGAGACCTACAGTCAGTTGTGTCTCACTGAGAAACAGCAGAGTGGAGCCCAGCCTGGGTGCAGGAGCTGCACCAAGCTGGATCAGGGCTTTTTATGTCAGTTTCTTTTCTGCTGTCCTTGACAGTGTACTCAGCTGCTGTGCTGCTTCCCCCACTCTGAGCTGTAGAGAGCAAGAGAGATGGGGGCTTCCAGTCCTGGGACATCACCACAGAAGAGTGAGAAACTTGGTCTGTCTTGTTGCTGTGCTTCAGTCCTCATACCCACCAGCATGATTCCATTCCTGCCTGCATTGTTGCTCCCACCAGGGCCATCTTGACTGTCTCAAGATGCACTGTGCAGGCACTTGAGATTCCAAAGGAAACCTTCTCACAGCAAAGTTAGTTACCCACCCAGGTGCATTTTTCTTCTGCAGAAAGTTGATTTGCCTACCTCTGCCTATTCAGACATTCAGTTTCGTATTTGTAAAGAAATTGAAGTTACTGTCTTGATCTCCCCACAGGAAGGGATGAAAGAGGTTTGGACAAAGACAGACCCCTGAAATTGCCCCTTCTGGCATATATGTGAGATGCACAGTGCCTGCTCCTTCTTTTGGCTACCCAGAAGGTGTCTTAGAGGTCACTTAACCTTGAGTATACAAGGAATCTGATATGTTTGTGATAGGTTTGGACTGGGCAGGTGTAATTTCTGAGTAGTGGCTCAGGTGAGGATCCAGGACCCCTGGAAGGCTTTCAGTGCTGGCAGTGTGCCCTGAGCCAGGCCTGAGCAACTTCTCTGAACCTGTGTTTGCAGATGGTACTTTAGTGGTGCCAAACCCAACAGACTCCAGGAGCTCCTGTCCTCGATGTGCTGCAAGCCTTGTCCATGGTGAAATGATCAGAAGACCAGCAGAGGATGATGGGCTTGAGGGTTGCACCATAATCCAGTGAAGTCCCTGCCTTTTCCTTACAGCATGGCAGCTCCCTGAGAGCCCTGGGCAGCCTGGCAGGACCAACCTGTTGCTGATGCCTGTTGCAGGATAGGTCAGTCAGGCGTATGCAGGAAGCACATTTGTCTTTAATCCTGTAATTGAGAGGTTCAGTAACAACTTGACTGTAAAGATCAAAAGCTGAGGTACAGGCTCTTTCCTGCCTGGTTCCAGACATGGTTGGGAAGATTTCAGCTTCCCTGTGCACAGGTGCCTCCTTTTATCTGAGCAGCTCTTGCAGCTCTGCAGGGAAGCTGTAGGGCTGCCTGCTCCCCAAAAGCCCCTCACCCAGAGGGCCATATCCTGGCTTGGCTGAGTGTTGTTTGCAGCCCTGCTGGGGGACAGGTGACAGCAATACCACTGCCTGCACGAGGATGGGGGCACACTTGGTCCCTGGAGAGGATTGCCATTTATGTGCAAAAAGGGGCAGTTGGAGCGGATGATGTGACTGGGGGAAGCCTTGGTGGTCACTTAACCTGTTACCAAGCAAAGCTGCAGGATGTGGAGGGCTGCTCCATTGTGCAGGGAACAAAGCTGAGCTATTTGCCGGCCTGTGACAGGCACTGGTGATGGAAGGAAATGCCATCAAGATTGAGAGTAATTTCTCCTCAGCCCTGGGGTCCTTGCCAAGAACAGACAGAGACCATATGAAGATGAGAGGTGGTGGGGCTGCTGTCCTGTGTGCTTTGCAGCCCTGATCCCTCCTCACAGTAGTCACATACAGATCTGCAGTGTTTCCAGGAAATAAAAGTCTCTTTTCTCTCTCTCCTATCTGTGCATGGAAATGAGTACCTCAGCCTTAGATAAGGCCTTCACAAGGCATCTGCCTTCCTGACTGGTTACTGTAGAGTCCAGGCAGGTCTGCTGGATGTCCCTCTCCTGAACATCGCTCTCAGCACCCTCTTTGACAGCCCTCTGTGTCTTTTGAGCTCAGCTTTTCCCATCAAGCAAATGGCAGCCAGCATGCAGCCTTCAGTGGGGATCACCCATTGACCTCCACAGCCAGAGAGGTGAGATGTGCCCTTTCTTAGCCCAGACCGATGGCCAGCCCTTGCTTTGGGCAGAGCTGTAAGGGACTGGTGTTGGTTTATGTACAGCTGGAGGGGGCAGCTCAAAACCCCACAGCAGAATAGGCCATCTGTCACTGCTGTGCAGATCTGCTGGGCCTGGGGATTCACCTCGCCTTGAAATGCTTCCACCTCCAGGAAATAGAAGAACCTCTGCATTGAGGATAAATGCGGATTCACACCAAAATCTGACACGTCCTCTGCCTCTGCACATCCCTCCTGGCTGCCAGCAGTGGGCAAGTCTGGAGCATAAAGCCTGGATCAAGAGAGAGGAAGGTCAGGGGCCTGTTGATGCTCTTTGGAAAGGGGGCTACTGCTCTCTGGATTGTCCCATGCTGCAGTTGCGTGGTGCCGAGAAGCATTCTCCCTGAGCAGCTGCTGGTGCTTCTGAAGCAGCTCCTTGCTCTGCATGAGTAATGGGGCTGGCTGCACGCACACCATGCTGCAGCTGCAGCTCAAAAGAGAATGTGGATGGCTGTGGGAGCTCCTGTGGAATCTGGCCCTAGAGTGACTCTGCTCAGGCTGCAGGCTGTGCTGGCATTCAGCTCTCCTACAAACAGCAGCGTTTGGCTGTCAAAGTCATTCCCATCAGGGAGTGAGCATCATGTGAATGAAATACCTTCTGCCTGTCTCTGTCACCAGCAGAGAGTGAGCATGGCACCTGATATGTTTGACCACCATGTCCCTGATGGGGATGCAATGTCTGCTTGCATAAAGCTTGGGTAGATTTTCTTGATGTCTAAAGCTGCATAAAAGTAAATGATTTAAGCTCTCTGAGTGAAGGTTGCTACAGTGAAGCTGCTCAGGAAATGGAAAATGGAAAAACCAATCACTTTGTTCCTGGCACTAATAATGAGTGTTGTTTCTCTGCAGGTACACAGGGCCTGACAGGTTAAGTGGTAGAGATGGTCTGGCTCACTTCCAGGCATCCAGTGGTGTTTTTGCACATCCACTGATGTTGGGCAGTTGGTAGAAGATGCTAGGCAGCCCTGTCCAGGGTGTTTTCCCCACCTTGTGTATCTGATTTCAACAAATAACCCTGTGTGTTCACTGATGACCATTAAAATTCTCTAGCCAGGCCTACAGCAGCTGGTCACATCTTATTTACTCTATCATTAAATCTTGCCATCTCTGCTTTATAGAGAAAATGGTGGCTTATGGACCTAAGTCAGATGTTTGTCTTTCTTCTGCTTCTGATTGATGACACGTCTTGGTGCTGAGCCCCATTCTTTCCATGGTGATAAGACACTCACTCTTCCCTGGTATTTGTCCCACTGGACCACATTTTGTCCCACTTCTCTTGGTTGACTGATGCAGCAGAACTGTTTTAGCAAGGCCAGCATATGCACCACTGCTAGAGTTAAGCCCCATGAAGCTGCTTCCAGCATTCCTGGAGTATTAGAAATAAACTGCTGAGCTCAGTATTTGATTAATGAGCACAAGCATGTAGTGCAGTGGCAAGCAGAGCCAGGCAGGCAGGACACAGCACACCACACAAGCTGCCAGCAGACACAGAAAATGCACAAGCTGCATAGTCCCAGATTCTTCCTTGCTGCAAGGATGGGTCAAAGCATTTGGGGTGATCCACAGAGCCCAGGTGTGGCTTCTTTGTGCTGTCAGCTCTGGGAAAACAGCGTAGGGAGCAGCAGTCCTATTGCCTGCAGCTTACTGGTGCCCTTTGACCTTGTCCTGCTTGACAGTGGTGAAAGTGGCTGGGCAAAAGAGGAAAGAGAGTTCCAGGTTTTATGCTGAGCAGGGCCACACTGAGGTGTGAATTCCTGCAGTCTTAGCAGCAGCTTTCCCTGGGCCCCCCTGCCCAGAGAGGACAAACATGCCCAGCAGTGTGGGCGCCAGCTCCCAGGGACCTGGCGGGGAGGTGGGGCTGTGGCAGAGCAGCCAGCACAGCTGAAGCCCTTTGCATAAGGGGCTGTTTGTTTTGCTGAATTGTTAAGCCCCATTGACAATAGCAGCCCCCCCCACTCTCTACATTCAAGGAACTGTGGTGGCCAGACACTGATCCTTTCTCTTATCTTCAGGCACTGAATTAGGGTTGTTCTTCACTGAGTCCCTCTGACTGGCTGTTGCTTTTTGTCCTCGCTCTGCAGGCGTACGAGTGGGCCTTGGAAGGGATGCGACACCTTGCCTGTATCAGCATGGAGGACTGCAGCTCCGCCGAGCACTGTGCAGATGTGATCAAGTGCCTGGAGAGTTACAAGGGGCAGCACCCGGACATCAGTGCTGCCCGGTTCCAGGAGATGAAGGAGCTGGCCTGTGAGCTGAAGAGTGAGAAGGGGCTCAAGCAGTGGAAATTTGCATGGTCTAAATGCCAGGAGACCAAGCTGGTTTTTGAAAAGAAACTCGAAGCAGCCTTGAGAACAAGGAAGTCTCTGCTGTCAGACCGCAACCCAGCTGTGGGGGAGCAGCCCCAGGCTGGCAGTGAGACTGGCACTCTGTCCCACCGGAGGCACTCTGAGGGGGCCACCTCCAGGTCCCACTGGGACAGGACTCAGAGCACATCTCATGGCTACAACAGAACCAACAGCTGTCTGGAGTGGACTAGGGAGAAAGCTCCCTCGCCCTCCCTGAGCTGCCCTGGAGATGTCGATGCTGGGGAAGTATTTGTCTGCCCAGCTCCTCTCAGCCCTGGTCCTCACTCAAGCAGAATTTCTTTCACCAGCAGGGCTTGTAAGTCTCCAATGCTGCCTGAAGAAAAGCCAAACCTGGAGAGCATTTTAGAAGCCCCAGAGGTGAAGCAGTGTCCTACATCCACTCCAGTCCCTGGGAAGCTGCCTCCCAGGAAGGTGCTCCGGAAGGCCCAAAGCTTTGACCTGCCTTATGGTGAGAGCCTGTGGGCCAGCTGCCAGAGGAGCGAGCCGGCCAGGTACGGCAACACCGGCGTCTTCATTAAGGGGCTGGAGGTGAGCAGCACTGAGCTGGTGGACAGGACGTTCGCTCTGCGGCAGCCAGCTGTGAGCAGCTGGGCTGCAGACTGCCTGCTGGAGGGACAGAGGGGCTGCCTCTCCGGGTCAGAAGCCAAGAGCTGGGGCAGGTAAGTGTCTGACATTTGGAGTTCTCTTTCTCAGGGTGGTGGAAAGGCAGCCAGCAGAGATTAGAGGAGCTCTATAGTGCTGGTTACTTTAGCATTGGTTACAGGACAGATGGACATGTAGCTCCAGCTTCCCTGCATGTGTGTATGTGATGCTGAGCAAGCCCACAGGGATGTCCCCACATAATCTGACACCTTCCTTGGTGGGGCAACAGAGAAATTGGATTTGTGGCTCTTCCCTCACAGTGTGATTCCTCTAGGAGGGGAAAGTTCAGTTCCCAGACAGGAAAGGGAGTCTCTGAACATTGCTTCCATTGGAGAATGAGGGATTACAGAAACAGTATTCAGTGACCTAACAAAGCCAGGAGTACAGGTGCAGTGGGAGAGCAGAAGCTCAGGGCATTGTCCCCCAGACTTTTGGGAGTATTGTATCCAGACTGGTAGGGAGGCATATCCAGCACCTTGTGACAGCAGCATCACAGGTGAGAGGGTGTTTATATTTGTGCTTTGGGGCTGAAATCTCTGGGTGTCCAACAGCTGCCATTTGTGCTGTTTTCCTTCTCTATCCTTGAGAATCTCAGCTTTGTTGTCATACTACAATGTGTGCCTATGCTTTGGAGAGCCCAGGGATACGAGCTGTTCTTGACAAAGGATCTCCAGGCAGGTCTTTCATTTGCTCTCACTGGAAAAAATTAAATTCAAAGTAAAAGAATTAATGGCAGAGATGAGAAAAGAGTGCTGGATGCTGGGGGACCATGGTTACTACTCTTGAGTGAAATGGCTGGGGACAGTGAAATCTTCTGGAAGGGGGCTCTGATATCCCTGAGATACCCAGAAAAGCTCATGGCAGGGAATGTGCACCAGCAGATAGAAGGGTGACCACTTTGCTTCTCAAGGGAGCAATGCAGCAGGCCTCCTGTGTCCATGGGTGCTGAGACAGTTCCACTGCTCTCTGAACAGCCAGAGGAGTTGACTTGAGGGAAGGCTGAAATGCAGGGGAGGAAGGGACACATTGGAGTAGTTATGCTTGGTACTACACTGCCTCACAGTGGAAACCTCGAGTACCTAAGAGGCAGCCTTTGAGATACGTGAGAGCAATCCATGCTGGGAACTGCTGTTCACTGATGAAATGCTAGGGCATTTCAGCTTTACTCTCACTTTTACTAGGGCAAGCCCAACAGCACCTAATTCTAGAGCTATTGTTCTCCCAGGGTTAACATTGCTTCCCACAGTGTCTAGTCATCAGGCTGACTCCTCACAGAAGTCACTGTGACTTCTGCTGTCACTGTTGTTTCAGGAGAGCAGCCATCTGCAGAGCAGCCCACTGTGTCCACAGCAGGGGCTGGGTGGGCCCAGGGGTGTGTGTCCTGCTGAGGATCAGGATCACAGCCAGCCTTGGGCACTCCCTTCCTGAATCCTTCGAATCACAGAATATCCTGAGCTGAAAGAGAGACCCAAAAGGATAATTGATCCAACTTCTGACTGCATTGGACTACCCCAAGAATCACACCATGTGGTAGAGAGCCTTGTCCAAATGCTTCTTGAGCTCCGACAGGCTTGGTGCCATGACCACTTCCCTAGGGAGCCTGTTCCAGTGCCTTAGCACCCTCTCTGTGGGTGAAGGACCTAAAAGCTTCAGCCTAAACCTCCCCTGACACAGCTTCATGCTGTTCCCTTGAGTCCTGTCAGCGCTCAGGATCAGAGCAATCACGGACAGTTGTGTATCTGAGCTTGGGCTGTGCCAAGGATCATCTCCATGCTGGCGGTCAGAGAGAGCTTCTCTAGCGATAGTCCAGTGCTTTGCAGGCACTCTGGCTGCTGTAGCCCTGCTGCAGCCCGGGTCCCTTCAGGGCTGGGTGTTTCCTGTTGCAGCAAACTGCGGCACATCATCGACGAGATGGTGACCACGGAGCGGGAGTACGTGCGGTCACTCCGCTACATCATCGACAGCTACTTCCCTGAGATGGAGCGCCTCGACCTGCCCCAGGACCTGCGTGGGAAGCGCAGCGTCATCTTTGGAAACCTGGAGAAACTCTATGACTTCCACAGCCAATACTTCCTTCGAGAGCTTGAGAGCTGCTGCAACCACCCACTGAGGGTCAGCCACTGCTTCCTGCGACACGTAAGGCATCAGTACCTTGCCCCCGGGATCGGGCTCTTCCAGACATGAGTTTGGTTTCTGTGCCTTTCATGTTGTGCTTTGCTACCAAGAGACACTGCCAGGGAAACAAAATCTCTGCTCCTTAAAGCCCGTCTGTTTCTCCAGGGACATTCCTTACATGTTTTCTGTCTGTGGTGTCAGAGGTAATGACTAGAGTGAGCAGAGAGGTACAGACCAGCTCTGGGAGAAGAAGGCTGCTGGGCAGAAGCACAGGGACACAGGTCTTAAGGTCAGCTGCCCCATGCATTTTGCTGCTACATGGTGTGAATGGTACCAGGTGACTATTGGGGTATGGAAGAGGCTAGGGATAGCAGAACAATGAATCAAAAAGTCCTAGCTACTCTGGGAGTAGGAAGACAATAACATTCCCTTGTTCTTAGTGAGCTTGAAATAAAGTTATTCCTGATATCAGAGGAGGCTCTGGTGCAGCCTAGGAGAGGCAGAAGTACTAGAGTAACCTACCAGGGTTGTGGCTGTCACTGTGTCCTGGGCGCATGGGTCTCACTGGAGGATGGATCTCTTCTGCAGAAAGACCAGTTTGGAATGTATGCACTGTATAGCAAGAACAAGCCGAAGTCAGACTCGCTGCTGGCCAGCCATGGGAATACCTTCTTCAAGGTGAGTTCCACTGCCTGTATCAGGATTGCTCAGTGTGTTTGGTCACTGATCTGTTTAAGCAAAGCCAACTTACCTGCCTAAGGCAGGCTCAGTGCTGCCACTGCTTCCCTGGCACAACTCTCTGCACAGCTGTATGGGAGGGACAGGGCAGAGGTGCAGAGAGAGCTTGGGAAAGGAGCCCAGCACACAGCAGCATTGGTCCTGTGGCCTTGCATTCCCCCAAGAGTACTCATTTTCCCTGAGTACCCCAGTCAAGAGGTGTCAGTGCTGGCCTGGGGGCACAGGGTTCTCCTTGGGGAGGCTGCTGCCTTCAGTGTGTTGCATTTCTCAGTTCAAGCAGGTGCAGCTGGGGGATAAGATGGACCTGGCCTCCTACCTGCTGAAACCCATCCAGCGGATGAGCAAATATGCCCTGCTCCTAAAGGACCTGATCAAGGAGTGCAGCGAGGCACAAGAGCAGGAGCTGGGCTATCTCCGTGCTGCTGAGGAGATGGTGAAGTTTCAGCTCCGGCATGGGAATGACCTGCTGGCCATGGATGCCATCCGTGACTGTGACGTACGTTCCAGTGTCTTCCCCTGCCCAGGGGAGCAGAGCCACACTTATTCCCCTTCTCTAGACTTGGGGTCTTTGGATTGTATGGTGAGCCTCCCCTCAGGTTGCCCCAGGGATCAGACAGCTGTCTGCCAGTACAGCACAGAAGGACTGCTGAGGCATGGGGCAAGGGAGCAGTGAGGCCTGGAGGTCTCCTTGATTTCCTAGGGCAGACAGCCTGGATGCTGCTACCTGAGTTGGGTGAGCTGCTTGTCATAAACATGCTCCCAGATGTTTACCAGTGATGGGAGGCAGCCTCATAGCCCTTGCAGATGGCATCCTGCAGGCTGCTTTGGACCTTTAATCTCTTGAGCTGTCAAAAGAGGGTCTGGCAGACTGCAATAAGGAATTTGAACTGATGCCAATGCCAAGGGTAGGACAAAATCAACTAAGTGGGACTTGGAGAGGCATGCAAAGTGCAGCACTTGAGAAGGAGAAACCCCAGGGCTCAGGGTGGAGTAGGATCAGTCTGGGTCAGGAAGAATTGAGGAGCTGGCCTTCTGACCCAGTTGGGCTCCTTGCAGTGGATGGAAATAATTTCCTCCCCAAGAGAAAGCTCTGGCTGCTGCCTGCAGTTGCCACTCCAGAGGTTTGTCACAGATGTGCACAGGGCGACAGAAGAGGGCCATCTGTGGGTACACCTAGGAGAAAGGTCCAGCTCTGCCCTGAGCTTGGAGCCAGTTGTTTGAGCCTGATGTGATCCCCAGCAATGCAATGCAGCCTGACTTCTTTGAGAGCCCTCTTAATATGTCAGGTAGCTGCCACTTCTTCACCACCTGGGCTACAGCCGTATGGGACCATGTTCTCCAAGTCCAGGTCTAGGGCTGCCTGGGTCATGCTGGTGGAGTCTTACAAGGGTGTCCTCCCATCTCCAGGTTAACCTGAAGGAGCAGGGGCAGCTGGTGCGGCAGGACGAGTTCACCATCTGGCTGGGCCGCAGGAAGTACCAGCGACACGTCTTCCTCTTCGAGGACCTCATCCTCTTCAGCAAGCCCAAGAGGATCGAGGGTGGCTTTGATGTGTATATCTACAAGCGCTCCTTCAAGGTAAGGGCAGCCCTGCAGCTCCCTCTTGTGTAGGAGGTGTCCATGGCTGGTTTCCTCATGGCACATGCCTCTGAAATGGGAAGCAGGAGCACCTTCAGCAGAAGAGCTGCTCCCACCACTTCTCAGCCTCCTCCAAACCATGCAGTGAAGCCAGAAGGGGATATTTCACTCATTAATGCCTAGGCCCTCTGTGCTGTGAGATGTGGGGCCAGCATTTTCTGAGGGTTGTGGAGTATGGGGGAAAGGCAATGTTTATGTGGCAGGGAAGTGGTGGTAATTCTGGATGGAGCACTAGGAATTGCCTGAGCTGTCTGTGCTCAGCTGTATCCAGGACATACCTGCTGCTTTCCAGACCCTCAGGCTCCTTCCTCTTAGGTCTGCCAAGCTGAGGATAGCTCTAGCACAAGGTTCAAGCAGCTTACTCCTTTTGCTCCTGGTACAGTCTGGTTTATGCTTTGCTTTTCCTCTTCCTCCCAGACTGCAGACATTGGTCTGACCGAGAACTGTGGAGACAGCGGCCTGCGCTTTGAGATCTGGTTCCGAAGGCGGAAGTCCAGTGACACCTACATCCTCCAGGCCAGCTCAGCTGAGACTAAGCAGGCCTGGACTGGTGACATTGCCAAAATCCTGTGGCAGCAGGCAGCCCGCAATAAAGGTGTGATTCCTTCCTGGAATTCCTTCTGTGCCGCAAAAGGTGCGGGAGCCCTGTTCAGCTCATGCTGTCCTGAGTAGGTTTGGATCCTGTTACCAGGCAGCTCTGTGCAGCAAGCAGCTGTGTGCCAGCATGCAGCCTCAGGAGCATGTGCTGGGCTTGGCTGGGCATGTCCCTTCCCTGCCCCTCATCCCCAGGGAACTCAACTGGTCCAAGCTCTGTATGACTGTCCATGAGAGAAACCAAAGATCCATGCTCAGGGTTCCCTGTCCTGTGAGCACAGGCTGTGCCCCTGAAAGACTTGTTGGTCTCTCCAGTGATGTGGGCCACTACTGGAGCTCACTACTGAATCATGCTGACCAAGTCCCTCCTGTCCCCCACAGGCTTCCCGCTTGGCAGGACACTCGTAGGTGGCATGGCGCTGAGCTACTTGGCCAGAGCAGGGCATGATTGCTTGTTCCTGGAGACTCCACAGCGCTGGGGAGGGCAGCAAGGGGAGAGGAGGAGATCTAATCTCAGCAGTTCAGAAGCAGCCCAGCCCAAGAGTGCTCTAACCTGTGGCTGAATAGTGCCTGTGGGGAGGGTTGGGTTGGGTCAGCCTCACAATGTGGCTGTGGGTCTCTTCCTCTCCAGAAATCCGTATGCAGGAGATGGTCTCCATGGGTGTGGGTAACAAGCCCTTCCTGGATATCAAACCCAGTGAGGCAGCTATTAATGACCGTGCTATTGATTACATCATGAAAGGCAGAGGTAGGTGCCAGCTGTGCCTTCCCCCTTGATCCTTGTGAGGGAGGCAGGACTGGTTCTCAGGGTTTTTTTGTATGTTTTCTGTCAGGTGCCAGGACCAGAGCTTCAATTGCAGTGTCTCTGTTTGACCATTCCAACCCCTTCAAGAGGACACAGACGCAGCTCTCCACTGGCAGCACCCCCACTGCCTATTCCCCTTCCTCCTCCTCCCTGCTGGGGCCCCTCAACCTCCACATGTACCTGGACCAGGCTCTGCTGCCAGGGGTCCTGGCCCCCAGACGTCCCTTTGACATTGGCACTTGCATCGAGGAAGATGAGCTGGAGCACGAGACGAGCAGCCAGCCCTCAATGAGTACGTACAGCCCCTCTGCTCTACAGCACCTGGGATGTGTGGGCTCATCCCTGCTCCTTGTTCTGTGCTGTGTGGTCAGACCAGGCTTGCTGGGGTCATGGCACTCCTTGTCTCCTACCCAGACCAGGGCATGAGGGCCCTGCCCTTCCATAATGCCAGCTCTGTCTCAGGTTCTGTGAGAAGAGTTAGCTCAAATACAGGGCTTATAAAGTACCTGCTGAGCTGCAGCCATATCCATGGCAGGCTTGGTGCTGTGTACTTGTTGTGGTCTTGGGGACTTGTGTCCCTTCCCCTCTGGTATGGAGTGCTCTGTCCTTTGCCCTCACCATCCTGGCCCCATCACCCTTTGCCTTCCCTTGTGTGAACTTCATTGGCCAGCCCATACCACTCACCAGCATCATCAGAACTCTTCTTCCTTGTGTTGGTTTGTTGTCTGTGGCCTTAAAGAGGCCCAGACAGGAGTGTGGCTGATCTGTGGGCTTGTGTGGCCAGTGCCCTTGCAGACAGGTACATTATCAAGCTTATGTGGCATGGGTTATATGCAACCCAAAGTTATCTGTGATCTGTTAGTGGTCTGTGGCTATCAGAGTGACCTTCCTCTCTTTCCCCAGCAACAGAGAGCTCCGAGTCATCGCACTGCATGTCAGCCACTGGCTCCAGCGGCTCCGACAGTGGCTGTGTCTCCAACGTCCCACAAGAAAGCTTCTGTGAAGACATGGGCTCACCCCCTTACATGCCCATAGGCCCACAACACAGCTCTGCCATGGAGGGCAGACCCAGGTTCACAAACAGCCAGTACATTTCTGCAGTAAGTGCAAGCAGCCAAAACACTCTCCTTACTTTGCCTGCTCCTGTACCTGGCTCCCCAGTTCAAGCCACTGCCTCTCACAGGGGGACCGAAGATGCTGCTTTTGGGCTTGGGGTGACTGTGGGGAAGTGACATTTCCTCTTGCAGAGACTTGGCCCCTCTGGGGCCTGCGAGAGCCTCTGGTGCAGGAGCCACCCCTGCAGTGGCCAGGATCCCTGAGGAGATGAGCTGGAAAGGACCTGCAGTGCTGGAGGCTGCACAAGGAGGTGTTGCACAAACAGGAGCTATAATGCTGCCATGGGCTGGGGTACACATATAACCTCCTGGAGTGGCTGGAGCTCTGCTGCACGTGCTGCCAAGCTCCTTTCCTGGGAGGTTTGGGCGTTTTTTGGGGAATGATGAGAGGGAGTAGTGGGAGCCTGTTGCTCTGAGATGTTGGTGTGTTCCTTAGCGTTCTCAGCTGCTTCCCTTCCCACTAGATCCTGTCCTGATGCTGTTGTCCTCTAACCCCCTACTAACACTGGCTTCTCTCTTCTGCAGAAAGCAGGCCAGGTCACCATAAGTCCCTCAAGAATAGTGTGACCCCCTCGGCCCCGCCTCAGGAAGTGGAGTTGTTGTAAGTAGCCCCTGCAGGGGATTTTCCAGCAGTTCTGAGTGCTGGTCAGGTTTGTCAGTAGCTCTGAGTCAGGGGAACCTCACCCTCAGCTCCTCTATGAGTTTTCCCTATGCATTCCTGACTGAGGCTCTGATTCATCTGGTTACAGAGGAGCAGCTCCCATGGAGCCACACTCTGAACAGCTGGTCTGATGCTTTCTGCCTTGCAGAAGCAAAATCACGTTCAGGTAGTAAAGGCTTGACCACCTCCTGAGTGTTCAGATGAGCTGCTTTCCTCTGAATGCTGCCCACCTGTCTAACCACTAATCTATTTCTTGTGGCTGTTTGCCAAAATCCTGCTCTTAGTCCCTCTGAACTGCCTTGGGGAATCAGTATTCTCCCCAAGGCAGATTTATCCCACAGTTTCCTTTCAACCTCCAAAGGAAATGGTACTTTGCCAGACAAAGGAACCTGTTAGGTTATGGTCAGGATGTCCTGAGGGCGCTGCCAGAGGTTGTTTCACTATTTAGGGATTTTGGGAGGATGCCTTGTCTGGAAGGAAGTCACTGTTGATCCAAGGAGGGTGAACCCTAACAGGACTTGCAGCCAAGCAGGGCTCCTGCTCATGGCTGGCAGCCCTTGATATTGTCACTCAAACCAGCCTGCTCTTGTCTCAGCCTTTTCCTCTCTGTCCTTGGGGCTGAGCCTCCCTTCTCACAGGGAGCAGAGGGGTATGGGAGAGGCAGGATTAGGGCTTGAATGGTCAAGGCACAGGGTGGTGAATGGCTCATAGGGTTGGCACTGTGGGGTGTGGCACCATGCAGGCCCATGCCTCGTGACCTGCAGGTGCAGGAGTTCAGAACCAGCTGTACAGAACCAGTAAGGTTCAGATTTAAGATCCTGAGCCTCCTTCTGGAGAGTCACAGGTGAGACTTTTGAAGGGGCCACAGAAGCAGAAGGGACAGCAGCACAAAACCTTTGGGTGAGTCCTTAGGCACAGAGGGAAGAGCTGTGCTTCTCCTGCAGGGAGAATATTCTTTCCCCACCAAAATTTGCCTCTGACATACAGTGGATTTCAAGTGTTTTGTGAGGTCACTGCTGGCCAGGACAGAGGGACCTGTGGGATCCTGCCACGTCCCAGGAGTGCAGCTGGTCTAACCCATTGCACGGTGCTGTGTTCCAGGTTTGATTGCCATTTCAAACTCACTGAAGACCCCAGGCCTCTGACCAGCAGAAGGACACAGTCTTCATCCTTGAAGATATTTTTTTGCCCATTATCAGGCTCTTTCAAACAGCCCAAAACTTGACCTCTTCCTGAGACGAAGTCCCAGGAAGGCTTCTGTCAACTAAATGTAATAGCTTTGGTATTGGATGGGACCTTGGGCATTTAGAACTCATTAGCCCTGTATTTATAAGTAATAAGTAACATAGCAGTTTGGGGAAAAAAAAATATTATTTTTAAAGCTATGAGTTGTACAGATTTTTATTACAAGTGACTCTGTTACTATTTGTTGTGTAAGCTGCATATTTTATAAAGTTTTTGGAAGGGCATGAAGAGAAATTGAGGTATTTAAAAAAAGTAGTCTAACTTTCTGTTTCAGGGTTATAGTGACCTGAAGCTCAAGATTTAACGTCCTTCCTTATGTTCTAAATATGTCTATCATAGCAATAATTTATTTCTTTGGCTTAATACTTCCATTCTAATAAAAGCAATTTCATTGTTATGAATTGTTTCTTCAGATGGTTCTTCCAGTGCCTTGGTGCTGAGTTAATCTCTCTCATAACCATCTGTCAGCTCTGCCACTCTGCCTGTGCCACCTCTGCTCTGACTGCCAGCTCCCCCTGTAAACCCTCAGTGCATTCACCAGAGAAGGGGGAGATGCCCAGGCAGAGACTCCCCTGATGCCAGTGGGAGGCTGACCCAGAGAGGGGCTTTGGAGCAGCCAGCAGAGGTGTCAGTAGGAGTGAGGAAGAGGGAGCTGTCTGTGGAGCTCTGGAGGCACCAAAGTTCCTGGCTCTAATTTTAGCCACTTTCCCCCTGTAGCTGCGGTCCCAGTGCAAGTTCCTCTCTTGCCCTGCTGGCTCAGGTTCCAGTGGCTTAGTTCAGGTTCCATTGTGCTTTGTCCTGGCTGTGCCCCTGGTTTTGGACTGACAGGGACTGGCTCCTTGCTTCATTTCTGACTCAGCCCCTCTTCTGGTACTTCAGTCCCACTATTGTGGCTTGTTTGAGGAGCTTTGGATGTGCTGGCATTCGAGACCAACAGGTTTTGAGTGTAATGGGTTGATCATAATGCTGAACCTTAAGTGGAAGTTGTTTGAAGTAACACAGCATAACTGGAAGACAAACGAGCCCTGTGTTCCAAGGTGGCTTTTTCATGAGTAACATCCAAGGTCACTGTGTGGCTGTGACACCCTCCCTCTGTTCTTGGACAAAATGAAAATTACCATTTCTGGAAACAGTGGTTACTTGGCTGCCAAGTTCCTGTTTACTCCTGGTTTGTGCAGGGCTGTAAATCAGGCTCCTGCAGGTGTGGGAGAAGTGCTACATTTGGCCTGAGGAAGAAGATGGAGTAGTAATTTATTTAACTGCAATTTTCTCCCCTTGGCAGACTGGGGTGTTACATCCCACAGCCACCCTGGAGACAGTGTTCCTTCAAGTTTGGAAATTCCTGTACTGTATGTAAAACACTTGTTTATTTTTAATAAGCTGGATGTTTTTAAACCTTGTTCTTTTTTCAGACAGCAAGGAAAATACATTTGACACCTTTGTACAAAATTACGTGGGAAACAGTTATACAGGGAATATTTTACAAGTTACTATTTTGAGATAATTGCTGGGTTAATGCAAAGTTTCTGGACTGTCAAGACAACAATAGCTCATGTCACAAGAGGGAGAGAAGTTACTAATGCAACAAGAGGAACATGAAACGTCTGGAATTTCTCAGTTTCAAAGGTTTCTAAATTGCTGGACAAACCTTTAGTATTGTTTACCTGACACTCTTTCTTCAGGGTTTGATTGATTTGTCTAATAAAGGTTATTTTCTTTATATGAATCTTACTTGCATTGTGGCATGATTTCAGCATGGGAGCCTGGGCTGCAGAAGGAGACAGGGAGTCCTGAGAGGAGCAGTTGTCCCTGGTGTGTTTAAATACCCCCTCAGACTACTGGGGACAGATTGAAGTAACATTTCTCTGACCAAACCTAACCCAGCAGGTTATTGGGGTGAGGCTGATGGTGCCTGTCATTTTAAACACTGAAAAGTACACAAACAACTTTTTCCCTCTATTCCATATCTGGCACCCAAACAATGAGAAAAAAATATTTGGTTTTATTGGCATAAGTAGAAATATTTCCATTGCCAACCTTGACTTCTACAGAGTGAGCTGCAAATCAGGAATCCCAGATTAGACAATGCATTTTTGAGAGGGTGCAACCAAAATAAATGAGCTCCTAAACCAGAGGTGTTTCCCTGAAATCTTTGTCAGAACTGGAATTTTCCATCCTTTTTCCAGCCTTTCTACAAGATAAGTGGCATTCTCTGTCTCTTCTTTTTTTCTCCCCCTTTAACTAACCAGAGATAAAGAAAGTCTGATTGAAAAGCAGGAGTCCCACTCTGCTCTGTGACACTCATGACACACCTCAGATGGAAAATTCATTGTGGCATTTTCCACATTTAGGGGATCCCCTGAAGAGGGTAGATGGGTTCAGTGGGGCTGTTTGGGAATCCACCCTTCCCAGAGCATCCTTATCTCTGCTAGAAATGGCCATTGTGCCTGGCCCTACCCAGTTTGTACTCCCAACAATTCCCAGACATAGTTTGGCCATTCAGGTGTTAGTATTGTAAAATCCTGGCATGGATTGGAAGAAACCTTAAAGACCATCTCATTCAACCCCTCTGCTGTGGGCAGTGCTGCCTTCCCCTGGACCAGGTTACTCCAAGCCCTGTCCAGCCTGGCCTTGGACCCTTGCAGGAATGGGGAATGCAAAAATTCTAATTTGGTGGAATGTGGAATATTCACAGGACACTGCTGTTTTAAGCCATCTCAATTTCTGATGATTGATAAATTTTATAGACAGATTGCTGTGCCTGTGGAGGGAGGATACCCTCTCCTGTAACCTCCCTGAGTTCTCCTGACCACTGCAGTTTTGGAAAGCATTTTTCAGCCTGAGGGCAGGGACACCAGCAGAGGGGGCAGATGGAGTATTTTTCAGCTGGACTAATCTGACTTTGCTGATCTGCCCTAAAAAAAACCCCACAAAAATCTGAAGAGAGGTGCAATTTTCCTTTTTGTTAAAGATGTGCAGACGTTGCCCAAATCTGTGATCACAGACTGGTTTGAGTTGGAAAGGGCTCTAAACATCACCTTGTTCCAACCCCCTGCCATGAGCAGGGACACCTTGGAATAGATCAGGTGCTCCAAGCCCCATCCAGCCTGGCCTTGAACACCTCCAGGGATGGGGAATGCAGGAATTCTGGTTCAGTGGGATGTGGTCCTGGCCATACCTCAACAGGGCCGTGGTAAATGTCATTGTGCACTGTTTGTTAATGCAGTAATAGACTATTGAGCTTTGCTGCTCTTCCTCTCCCAGCCTTTGGAGATGGAACAACGTTAAACACTGCCTAAAAAGGAAAAAAAAAAAAAAAAAAAGAAAAAAAAGGATGATGTTAAATACAAAATGTTATTATTTGATGTTAGAAATATCAAGCAGCACAACATTTTGGAGACAATTCCATTTGTAAAAAAAAGAAAAGAAGAAACTCAGAGTTTCGAAAAAGCTTGGAGGAAATGCAGGTATGAATGTTTGAAAATAGACTTTCATCCAGCCAGGATGTACAGACTCACCCTTCACTGGCACAAGACAAAATTACACTTTAATTAAAATAAAAAATACTTGTAGCTGTATAGAAAATTAAATCTTTGTTAGAGATACCCATTTAGTATTTCCATTTATGCAGATACAGAGTTTAGGGGAAGAGGAGGAACTGTCACTTCCCTGTTGCACATGACAGTAAATTCAGTGGTGAATTTACCATAATAAATTCATTAGAATGAAGTTATTTTCAGGCCAACTGAACTTCCTCATGGAGCACTAGAAAGGGCAACACCACCTTTTCCAGATTCAAACATTTGTATTCAATAAGATGGGGCAGTATAAAATTCTCCTCAAACACAGCAGCTGCTTTCTTTAACTGCAGTTAATTAAAATCAAAACCATTAAATGAGCTCTTATGGAAAGGTCAAGCATGAAATCTTGTTTCACCAACCAGGGCAGAAGAGCTGAATGTGACTTTTATTTGGATACTTATCAGGAGCCTTGATAAACTTTAACAGAAAGTCTGTGACATCCATCTGCACACAATATTACCTAAGAATGGAAAAAGTCTAGAAGAACAGCACAGAAAATCCCACTTTGCCTGCAAGAAAGGCCTCAGCTGCAGAATTAATGCTCATAGGATAAATTCAGCAGAGCTGAGAAAAGGTAACCTTGAGGTCTGCATGTAAAAATGAAGGTGCCCAAACACAAAACTGTTGGTCAGTGAATAATTTATGATTATCAGACTTACCCTATGCAGGAGCTTCTTTCCACAACAGAGATTCAGGAGACAGAGTGACTTTACTTTTGGGAATTGAGAAATACCAATCACTGACACTAAAATTAATTAACTCTTCTTCTGCAGATCCCACAATGCTCTCTGGTTCATCCACACAGAAAACATTGAGTGGCAAGAACAAACCTGCAAATTCTAGAACAACCTGATGTCTGGAAGGGTTTTTTGCTATTTCTCATATAAATGGCCACAGAAAAAGGAGTCAAAAGCATGTCTGGAAAAGGATGGGGAGGGGAGGGAAATCCTCTGTAAATGGATGCAAGAAATAAAGTCAGTACCTTACAGAGAGAGCTTGTAGCTCCAGACTGCACTGATAATCAAAGATGATGTGAGGAACAAGACTTTTTCATAGATAATCACATCAACTTCTTATTGCTGATACTGTTCAAGCAAGAAAGATTAAAAGCTTTAAGAAAAACAACTGGAGAGTAAAACCTTGGTATTTCTGAGGCTCAATCCAATTTTAGGGGACAGTGGAAGAAAGACAGCACCACCAAAACACCCTCATGGTGCCATTGCTGCAAGGAAAGTCCTCCCAGACATTCCTGAGGGAATTCAGGCAGCCCAGGCTGCTTTTGATGGGCAGCAGTGCCCAGCCAGCAGCTCCCCCTGCACAAAGGGGTCTCAGCCCTGCCTTGTGCCTCCCCATCCCATCCCATCCCATCCCATCCCATCCCATCCCATCCCATCCCATCCCATCCCATCAGGTCTGGAGGAAGGAGCAGGGCTGCAATTTATTTAAAAGCCAATTAACACAATGCTAACATGACAGATCTCTTTAATTAGATGCTCTTTGTGTCATTTCTTAGAATAGGGAACAGGTGAGAAGACACAAAAAATAAAAAAAGATAAGAAAACCTGGAATATGGCAGCTAATAAATTAAGTGATCAATTTGATCATGTGGGACTTCTAGTTAAAAAACCTAAAGAGGGCTTTAGATAAAGATATAGGAGTGCTCATCAATACTTTATTAATATTTACTTAATATACATTAATACTTTATTATTTATCTAAACAATTTTTCAGAATAATATTTTTAACTTCCTCTAGAGATAAGGTCAGCATTAAAAAAAAAGACCATCAATATGAATACAGGCAAACTCCATATCTTAATATCTATATTTAATATTTGTTAATAATTTATACTTTAAATGTTAGAATCTAAATAAATCTGTACAATAACAGCTGCAATTCTGGGGCAGTGTCACACCTCAGGGATGGGTTTACATATCTTGAATGTTCTCCTGGGTTTACCCATTATCATCTCTGTGCGTTACTACTGGAAGCATCAGCTGACATAAAGATAATTTATTTAATTTATTTAATTAATAAGCTTTCCAGACAGTAGTTTGCAGGCTGGTTTTGTGTCAGGTTTATGGTTTTGGAGTCACTGGTGTCTCTGATGTTCTCTGCTGGTCGACTTGACTGCAAAACCATTAATATAGAAGAGCACCCTGCCCAATCTCTGAGCTCTTCTCACAGCTCCAAAATCCTTTGCTGGATTTATGAGGAGGGAAGAATGGACCTCCATGGACAGGAGCCTCGCTGGATTTTGTAATTTACCTTGAAATCTAATGGGTAATAATCCCAGGAAAATGATGTTGCATGGCTGTCCAAAGACAACCTAAACCTGCAGCAATAACATGAACAGGAGGGTGCTGAGCTTTTCTCTCCTCTGCTCCATACCCTCCTGTTCCTGACATGCATAAGGCAGGGATAACACTGCAGATGCTGCTGGGAAGTGTTTAAATCCAAAGCAAAAATCTGTTTCCAATTATGTCTCAAAAAAAAAAAAAAATTAAAAAAAAATCCATAGAAACTTTTCTGTTTAGAATTGTTTCCTGACATCACCTGAGCTTCCTGCCAAAACTCCAGATTATCTTGGTGTGTTCCAGATTTTACTGCTTGTTTAAGTTGTTTTTTTCACACACCTATGCAGGAATGCTTGGAAAAAGTTGGGGTTTTTTTCTTTAGAAGTGTGTTTGAGACAAATACTTCAAAGCAGTGACAGAAGGGTTTGCTTAAACTCACACCATGTTACATTCACGGACATTCATCACTTCTGAGGCTCAGCAGCACCACTGGAAAGGCTCCCAGGGACTTACCAGACATAGGTAAAACTGTACAAAAGTGATTCATTTCTTGTAACATTTATGGCCCTTTGTGATTCTGGGGATTTGGGGTTTGCTTTCTTATGTCTTGTCTCATCCCAAATGGATTATTTGATTCAGTAGCTGGATGAAAGGCTTTAGGGGAACCATGTGGAGGCTTCCACCCTACAAGAGATGGATCAGGCTGCTGCTCCCAGCCACTGCATCTCCAGGAATCAAACACACACAGAGTAAAGAAAAATGGAAAGATCCTCCAGAGCCTCCTGGGAATTGAGTAAATGGGGGCTGATGTGGTTTATAAGGCTCATGAGAACAGATACAGAGCAACC